GTTGGTTGGTTGGTTGGTTGGTTGGTTGCGTTGAGTGTATCATAGCACTATGTTCCTTGCCCCAGGAAGACTACGAAGTCAGTGATTTTAAATAACGTATTTCTCAAAAGAATTGCTCCAGTTGAAGAGGTGGAAACAAACTAAGTCKACCTCGACATCAGTTTCCCACTGATTTTCTACGTGGAGAGAATTAAGGAATGAAAGCTCGAAGAAACGCTCTAAAAAGAAGGATCAAGACGCGGGAGAAACTCAAGCGTATAGCAAGGAATTCTTAGATTCGAGTTTGCTAAGCTATTTTGTTTTTCTTTAGCCTTTCCACTGTTAATTGTTTTGTTGACTTTCCTTTAAAAATTGTTCCTAATCGTTTTGAAAGTAACAATTAAGTTTCTTTCCTGTAATTAGTGTTTGAGTTATGTGTGCCATTTTCTACAGTGTTGTGGGCCGTCAGTCACATGGTACTCGTCGTGTGCTCGAAATTCTTTGACATCCAATTCTCCCTTGTCGTATCGATTCTTAGCTTCTTTCCCTAGCATTTCTTCGAACTTTCATTCGTACACGTTAATGTTTATAATCTCGAATATTTCGATAACCATCTTTCTGCATTCCTTTGAGATCACGGAATTAAATTTCTCCAGTAAAGTTGTAAAAAAAAACTGAACCCTTTATTGATTTTTGACATGAAGAAACTTTCACCTTATTACATCATTTAGCAGTGCTGTAGCACTAACCTGTTATTATTTTAATGGCCTTTTTGATATTATTACCTTTACAAAGTTTATCTAGACTATATATTTTCATATACTCCCTTTCTTCCCCTCGCTTCTAACGGTTAGGCCTTTTGTCATTATTCCCCACAATAACGAAGCCGAGCATGGAAAGGTATTGATTTTAGTTTATAAACATAGAAAGAACCACAATTCCGAACTTTTATATAAGTATAACTGGAACAGCAGTTGCTATAGCAACTGAAGCATGCTTTGCGAGTCACTGCTCCGTCTGCTTGGGACGGATGAGTACCATCCAAATGCCCTAGACAAGCAGTATTGCATTTGTTCATTGTCAAACAGTTGCTGAGCATTCGTTTGCCTGCTTTGCCATCAAATCTGTACCATCCGTCAAGGTGAGCGTCATTTAGAACACCCCCGCCATAAGAATAGTGTCGAGTAGGATCGGACAAGGTCTTATGATTTTTAGAGCGACACTCATCATTTGGGCATGCTAAGAAAAATGATAGTAAATGTTATTTTTCTGCATTTACTTAAACTTAGTACTTTTACAATTAAAATTGCATGACATTAAGAGCATTGGTCTTTCTCCCTTAATACATTCTTGCAAGTAAGCAATTTTCCTGTTTCTGCAAAGTTGACAACTCGAGACGTGACACGACATTTTTTGCGGCTTCCGATCAATCTAGAGATCTTGCAGTTGATAGGTGTAACGATTAAATAGCAAATATTAAATATAATCTAAATAATGTTATTGGGATTAAAGACATCTGACTTTATCTTATTCTTTTTTAATATTTGTACAAACGATTATACAAAAATTACTTAAACCAAAATAAACAAATAATCAAAAATAGGTCAATACTTCAATGGATCGGGTTTACTTGGTTGCCTGTGACAAATTATAAAATGCGTTGATTTTTTCTGTCTTCTGCTCGACAAAATGCAAAAATTGCGCAATACTTCCCATATAAGAATTAGATGACGTGTCGATAGCTTCATGTGCGAGTTCACATGCAGGCTATCTAGGAATCGAATGTGCGTATTCCTTGAGGATATGTGGCCAAAAATTTATATCTTTAGCTTTTTTATCGGGACATGAACAGAGTCCATCATTAAATAAAGTTGGCGACCTCAGTTCAATTCCACGTGGTAGACTTATCTTTCATCGCGGAGTTTTACTAGCAAGTCATTTTTACTTGTAGATTCTCATTCTTGTTCATTGATTCAGTGAGATTAAATGCTATAAGCGAACATAGAAAGCATAAAAAGGTTTGTTCCAGAGTTTTAATTTTGATTCGAACAAACACAAGAATAATTTTGCAAGGGCACTGAATCAATAAGCTTCAAAGTTTTTTGACGGGCTGCCGAACACGTTCAATAACAGTCAACAATGATTTCTTCAAGAAAATAATAAACGACAAATACTGAAGAACAAAAAGAATACCAATTCTCGAATGGAATCATGAGGAAAAATCGGCCTAGCTTACCATATAAGTCAAGCGCTTCTCAATGAACTCTTTGAAGAGTCATACTCTGTAAGATTCAAACATAGACCGGCCAGGCTACTTCACGGATTTTGCTCAGTCGAATTTGGTGTACACCTATTTCAAAAAAACGTCATCGCCAAAGGCGATAGGCGATAGGTCATTCCGACACATTGAATCAGTCTCAACAATAAGGTTCAAGAACTTGACGAGAAGAAGAAGAAGAAAAAGTCATTCCAGCTATTCTTGGATCATGAAATAACCTAATTTCATATTCCTTTTGTCTATCGCCTATAGCCTATCGTCTGTCGCCTTTGGCGATGACAACGTTTTTTGAAATAGGTGTCTAAACTTGTTTTGGGGTCCTAAATGCGATATGGATCAATTTTTGCACACAAAAAAAAAGTTTTACGGCAAGTTTCTTCCATCGGGTTCATTCACAACGGGCAAGTTTGGGCAATTTCATTTTGTCGGGTTATGGCAAGGTCAAGTTAACAAGGTCAAGATAACACAACACTGTTTATTTGCGTTCCACCACTTGATCGACATCAAAAGCGGTCAAAAACTCGATGTGCTGAATAATATAAGTAAAGTAATATCATGATCACCTCGGATTCTTTTGTCTTCCGATTGCTTTACGAACCCGAATTTCTCGCATGCATAGAACATGAGGGGAATTTAGAAGACAAAGAAATCCTTTGTCTTTTACTAAATTTCCCTGTCGCATATATTAAATGTAGGGAAATTTAGTAAAAGACAAAGGATTTTATTGTCTCGTCTCCCTCAGGGACAACTTAATGCCCCTGCAACTGAATCGATTACAACGTATCCTACTTATGATATTACTGCACGGTTTCCATGTGGGACCCGTTCTCAAATCTGCGCATGCTCAGTCATAAGATAAATTGAAAATGACAACTTGTTTTTAGATTCTATTTTTGTTTTATTCCACAAATTTTCCCTCAGGGAAATTTAATCACTAATTTCCCTCGTGCCATGGTATTATTTGCAAACCATATTTTCATTTCATGCAAATGCATTCAAAAGAGAGTTTTTGAATGCTTTCTTTGTTTACGCTTCCGTGACCTAGAAACCCGAACATCTAAAACCGCAATTTTTTCCTCGGTGATCATGGTATTACACCATAAAAACCTTCAAGTAACGAATTGTACGTACGTGCTTGTAATCCCCAGAAAAGCAAGGTTATCAGCGTCGGTATTTCATTTATCTTCATTTACCAGAACCACGAGTTGAATTTCCCACCTTAAATCTTAAATACATCCCAGTATGTTATCAATTGAGTGTGCTTTAGATAGTCATTTTTCTCGAATGACAAAGAACAAGATTTGAATTTTACTCCGCACACGCGATAGCCGCGCGGTTGAACTCCATACATTCCTTCATATGGACCTCACAACTTAAAGATCAAAATGACGGAAATTCCTTTTAAATTTCACAAATATTTTAGCATTTATAGATAACACAATAACCAAACGATTAAAATCCGCGAGTTCATTGTGAGAAATTTAAGTCATAACACCGTGAAAATTTGAACTTTGCTCGTAAATTTACTAACTTGCTACAATCTAGGGAAAAAAATTAGGGGTATGTGACCGAATTCCTTTTATATTTTGCCATGATCAAATACACGGAACACAGCACGAACACGGAACACTGGCACGCCAAAGTCACCAAGGTGATCTCGGAAAGCGCGCAATGCATGATTTTCTGACTTGAAAAAGAATCAATCCCTAACATGACAGCGCGCCTAGAGTCCTGGACGAAACATTGCCGTGAAGGACGCCATTTTGTTTTGAGTTGGATTTGAATATGTATTCTCTTGAAATATAGTGCGAAATATTGGTGAAAAGAAGTCATAGCTGCACGTTTGAAGTCTATAGTAATGTTTCAAGTTGTGTACAAGTAAAATTTTACAAGAAAAGCTTATATCAAGTGTTTATCCCATTTTGTAATTCGTATAGCCAACAAAGTTAACCTTACAAAGTTTTTTGTTGCGAAAATGACTGAAAACTTGATACGCTCAAATTGCTATTTAGTAGTAACGTGTATGTACGTATATTAATATTTTTAATAACAATAAGCATTTTTTGATTTCAAAATGTGTAGTATTTACGTGCTATTCTTATGTTTTATGTTCTTGATTATTACCGATCCACACATATCTTGTTTTTTCTGCTTCTCAAGGCGCGCACAAAGGTCTATTGGGATTGATTCCTTTTCAGCAAACGCGATTCGCAATCTGATTGGCTAATCGATTTCCGTCAGATCACCTGGACGGCACTGCCAGACCAATCACATTGGGTGACAAAAAAAATGCGCCAATCAAAATTCTAGAAAACATCCCTTTTCCAAAGTCATTTGAACTGACTGCTCTATTTTAATTAACAGATGCTTTCGACCAAATGAGCTATGAGCTATGTGGCTTTCTTGCTCAATCAAGAAAGGAATTTTGCCACCAATGAAATATTTTTTGTGGCGACTTTTTTTAAACAAATAGTGCAGTGTATCATTTGGAATCCAGGAAATGCTTTGGGCAAAAATTTCGACTGATAAATCATATTTTCAATCCCTATAGCAGTTTTATTTATAACCCCTACAACTGCTGTGTGAAGTTCAATGGAGCACGCAAGGATAGCCTCCTCCCTGGCAGAAAACGAGAAAAGCAGTGTTTGGAGAACATGAGCATGAAAGAAAGCGTGCTGTGTGTTTACCATATTGGAAATCAGCTAGTGAGTATGTTCCCGCTGTTAAATCATTATCATCATCATTATCACCATCATCATCATCATCATCATCTCATAAACAGATACGTTGACCAATCGGAAAGCAAGATTTATTACAGTTATTATATGAATTACATTAATTTATATTGTCACAGGTTTGTCCACATGATACTAGTTTGACTACATGATGCTTTGATTTACTTTGAAATTATTTTTCTACTCAAACGATCTTGTATCTTAAATCATCATTGACTCGCAATTTAAAAGCCTTCTACGGCTGGGGCCTGGTTACTTCCTCTACGAACAGACGGCTGACTGTGTTCCACCCGGTGTATGCATTAGCATTCCCATACCCGGAACAGTCACCGACATTGAAGCCCACACGAACATGTCCCTTGTGGACATTGTTACAGTGACCTTCAATATGGCGGACACGGTGGAGCCAAAAGGTACCATAACTTAAGTACACAAGGCCATCTATTGCACGAGGCGACTGACATTCGGCACCGTTGAACGTGAAGAACCAGCGCTTACAGCAACCGCTACATTGATTCACACTGAATTCGCTATTCCAGTAAACGTGCAGGGCAGAGTTACTGTATTTCTTTAGGAAAACACAATCCTGTTCGAATTAAGCAAAGCATGTAGTTACTATGCTGGCCTGAGCCAATTATGACGTGACTCGGCTAAGGCTTGCGTTTTCCGGCGCATTGTGGGATACTTTGGGGATGGTAACAATTTTAATTTTTCATTAAAGTTTGTTAAAATCTCGTTCACAAATTACAATTGATGGTAAATGCTAATTAACCGCCAACCTGGTTGGCTCAGTTGGTTGAGCATCGGACTTTCGTGCGGGAGGTCGTGGTTCGAGTCCCGGCCAGAACAACACTCAGGGTCTTAAAATGACTGAGGAGAAAGTGCTGCCTTTGTAATTGCATCAGCAAATGGTTAGACTTTCAATTGGCTCGGATGACCACTTTAAATGGCGGTCCCGTCTCTCCACACTCATCATTACTAACCAACATCAGAGGGACGTAAAAGAACCACTGAGGACGTAAAGAGAAACCCTGGCAGCGACCACCCTCAGTGCCTACACTTCATACTAACCATCTCTCATGCTTGTACATTGCATACAAATATTTCTGTCATTCCTAAATCAATGTAAAGCGCCTTTGATTATATCCATATAGAAAGGGCGCTACATAAAATCATAAATCATTATCATTATTATATTGGTAGCTGATCTGAATTTCTTTTTATAGCCAATCAAAATCGAGAAAATTTGCCAAACTTTGGTGTCATCTAGCTTTCATTCTTTTCAAATTATGGACTTATAGGCCACCAGATGAAAAATATAACGTTGCTAACAAGAGGTTGATAACAGTGACACAAAAACTAATGAATTGGATATTTTCATCCCAATGGTGGACAAGGGGTTTTTATTTTTCTCTGGTAAATTTTCACAGGCTTCAGGACACCTCAGATTTGCAGTGACGCCATTTCTACGTCACAATTTTGTGGTTGGTCTTCTTAAAGTGCTACTCTGACGAAAATCGGTCAAACTTGGATTCAGCTGAAACTTCCTAAGAATACTCTTTAAAGGTCCAATAATCACTGTATGAAGTGTTTTCTCGATATTCAGGACGAAAGTATGATATTTTTACGATTATACACTCAACATCAAACATTGCTACATATATTTCTTTGTATATAAATCCTTAATTTATT